GCTGAGTCCAAGATGTCAATACGGTTAGTGGCCATGATGACCTGCAGAGATGGACGACATACTATTAAGTATATTTGAATAATTGGGGTTATTTAATACTTTAACTCCCATGTTTGGCACTCATGAACATTTATTTAACAAATGCAGCATTACTTGTTTCAAAATATTATAAAGGTCTTCTGTAGTCATCAGCAACTTTAGGTGATGCTGGTATATAAATAAATACCAGTTGTACCACAAAATGTCATTTATGAATAAAGAACCTATACAGCAAGCCGAAACGTCATCAGTGACGCATGTATTAAGAGGCTGTCCTGTGCACATAACACTACACCTCAGTGTTCATAGTAAGGATATGAGACTACACAGTGATCCTCTGCAGTACCTTGATGTTCTTGGTTGCCTCGAAGCCATCCAGCTGATTGAGCAGCTCCAGCATCGTCCTCTGCACCTCACTGTCCCCGCCTGAGCCTCCCTCCAGCCGAGATGAGCCGATGGAGTCTATCTCATCCATGAAGATGATGGACGGAGCATGCTCTCTTGCCATGACAAAGAGTTCTCGCACCATACGGGCACCTGCGGAAAGCCAGGGAGAGATCAACCAAAACCAGTTATTAAAAACATGGGGATCAATTCGATCCCAGTGTACAGGAAAGAAAAGGCACGCACCCTCTCCGATAAATTTCTGGACCAGCTCTGATCCAGACACCCTGATGAAGGTGCAGTCAGTGTGATGGGCCACAGCTCTGGCAAGGAGGGTCTTCCCTGTACCTGGGGGGCCATAGAGCAGCACACCCTGCAAGCACAAAGGAAAATCTGAACCACCTACACAGATGCAACAAGTGTAGCTTTAGTTAACCAATTTAATCAAATTATCTTTTTCCCCCCTCTCTTTGCTTTTCATGTTTTAGGACTGAAATGAATGATGGGCAGGCAACAAGACGAGAAAATGTGTCAAAGATATAAATATAAAACCCTAAGAGAAACTTCTGAAATTCGTACCATCGGCTCTCTTGTCAAATACCCACCTTGGGCTGGGCAATGCCTAAAGCCTCGAACAGCTCAGGGTGTTTGACGGGCAGCTCAATCACTTCTTTGATCTCCTTGATCTGCTTATCCAGGCCGCCGATCATTTCATAGGTGGAGTCCGGCACCTTCTCCACCATCATGAGGGACACCAGAGGGTCCACCTTGTTAGGAAGGATCTTGTGCAAGGTGTAGCTGTCGTTACGCAGAGCTACACGACAGTTTGGAGTCACCTAGTGGCAATTTGACAGAAATAATAACAGAACAGTTTAGGTTTCCTGATTCCTTGTACTTATTTTAATGAGTAAAATGCATTTTTTTCTCGTTTAGCTCCATCATACTTTACAGTAAATATTACAAATGGACTCAGCTTTTATAATACTCACATCATTGATGTCAATGTTTTTGTCCACATCCACCACAAACTTTCCCTCTGGATGCACCTGAAAATGATGAACAGACATAAATTTAAACTATCCACGACTGATTCAAAAAGAAGGATGCTGCATGGTGAATGTACACAGCATACCTTAACTAGCACTTTCTTTTTGTCCATGACCCTCACCACCTCTCCCACGTAGGATCCCTGTTCCTGTAGTAGCTGCAGCTCCTCACGAAGGAGACGCACTGAGACCAAAGTAACAAAGGAAATGTCTGACTGTGTACATCAGAATGACACAATTCCCAGTAATGTGGCAGGAAGATGAAGCACCATACCTTTGGCATTGAGCTCATTTCTCTGTGCCTGCAGACGTCTGAGATTCTGACTCTTCTCGTTCACAGTCAACTATGAAGAAAAAAAAAAAGCAGGTCAGGCATGATGGGCGAGCATGCGTTAAAAAGCAACAAAAACAAAAATGATTTTTCATTTCCTCACCTGCAACTCTTCTATCTTAGATAAGTAGTACTGCCGCAGACCTGATCCACCTTTACTCTCCCCCATCTCCATCTGCTAAAGAAACACATTGCAACATGGTGCAACTTCTTCACAGTGAGCTCTTGAACATTTAAATATGGCATATTTAATCTCCTAGGACCTGGCATCCACATATGTGGACATCACATTTTGGGTTATTTAGACCAAAATAGTCAATTTTGCTCCACAAGGGCCTGATATCCACTTACGAGGACATAATACTGCTACTGTTCTATTGAAATTTTAAAGGAATATCCTCATATGTGGCTCTCATTTTTCTTAGAAACAAAAATTAGGTTAAAAAAAAAATTCTGGTAATTCTTTATTTTTACATCCATCGGGTCCCAATCAGCCCAAATATCAAAAAGAAATTAAAAATGCATGCTGTGGAAGAGTTCGGGTCTTAGGAGGTTAAATATGCATTAATCAATGACTGCGTTCATAAGCCATCAATTTTGTTTCATTCTTGTTTTAAGATAAGAAAGTATGTTGGCCAGTTGATTGCTATGCTGCCTGCCAATTTGTGTTAGTGATGATGATTTTGATAGCAAAAAAACAGCAAACTGGGTCAAATGAATTCTCACTGATGAGAAGTGCTTTTCCTTTAGTCCCCATTTCCAACTTAAAAGTCGTCCATCAAGTGTGGTATGGTGGTTAACACTGCTGTATCACAGCAGGAAGGTTCTGGGTTTGAATCCAGTCCAAGGTGGTGTAAGATTAATTGGTGACGGTGTGAATGTGAGCACGAATAGTTGTATATATGAATTAGCCCTGCAAAAGACTGGCGACCTGTCCATGATGTACCCTGCCACTGGCCCTATGACAGCTGGAATAGGCTCCAGCCAAAACGCAATGCAGAGACGTCACTGTGTACTCTGTATACCCTCAATATGAAGCAGCCTCTATGCATACAGTTTTAGTTAGGCAGATATCTCCTGAAGGATGCAAACTACGTCTCTTTTTCTTACTATAGCATTTACGCCACTACATTTAAAATTAAAGATTAAGATACCAATTATATAGCAGCCTACAGACTTATGCTGTAAAAATACTGAAGAACTGTAAAAATTTTCCCGCGAACATTATTTTAGATTAACCCAGCAGCATATAAATCATCTACATTAGCTTTTTGTGGTCCCGAAAAGTCCAACGTACATGCCCGATGAGAGGATCTTATGTTGGACAATGCAAAGTACACAACCTTTATCAGTAAATAGTGTATGTCGAGCTTGCCATTATCTAATATTATAGAAGAAGAATAGAAATGCACATTTGTCCAATTTTCATTGATTAAATTGGTGGACTGAACTGGTTGAAATTGACCACTGTTTACATTAGCCATTAGGCCTAACCTGTAGCACCAACACAGGAAATATCTTTTAGGCAAGGAATTAAAAACACAAACAAAAAAAAACAACCTATGTAACAATAAGCGTTAAAGTGTGTGATGCTAACTTTCTCCCAACAATTACAGTTCATTAGCAAACTAACATCAGTTAGCTTACGTACAGACGTGCACGTATATTAATAAAGTAACGCTTGGCGTTTCCCATATAATAAACTCAGATATATCTCTCTCATAATATGCTGAAATAAGCACCCCTGTGTGGTCAAAAAAGCTAAGAATAGAATAAACTGTCCGCACCTCGCTGCCAGTCATCGTGAGAAGCTAGCTGGGTTAGCTACAATGAGACAGCAAACCGGCACAATCGCTGCTTTCAATGAAGTGACGTTTCCGTTTTTACACTGAAGTCCCGCATCCTTCCCTCAAACAACCTATTTTGAATAATCTATTAGACCCACAGCAAAACAGAAACGTTTCCTTCGCATGGCAGTCATAAAAGCAACAAAGCGGCAGGAAAAAAAAATACACCTACATGATCAATTCCGTCCACCTCCATCTTGAAATTTCTACATCCGGTTAAAGCCACTGCAGACCAGGCGCTATTTCCGGTACAGCGTCTTCGTGGTATTTCTTTGATGTATAATATATACAAATGCAGACACCGCCACCTACAGTCCATTTTAAAAAACTACACCTTTAAAAAAATAATTCCAGGACGTGTGAGGACAGCGAGACGGTGGTGAGGTGCGCAGTAGGAGTGGCAGATGGGTTCAAGGTGGGGGTGGGATTACATCAGGAATCTGCTCTGAGACCCTTAATGTTTGCAGTGGTGATGGAAAGATTAACAGATGAGTTCACTCAGGCGAATCCATGGACTATCATGTTCACAGATGACGGTGTAATCTATAGTGAGAGCAGGGAGGAGGTAGAAGACTGGGGAGGAAAGGAATGAAGATGGTAGAAGCGAGGCGAAGAATACGTCTGTGAATAAAGGGCAGGCTAGTGTGACAGTAAAGATGTGAGGTAGTGAAGGTACAGGCATTTAAATGCCTGGGATCAAACATCCAAAGCAAACTGCATAGGAGAGGTGAAAGAGACGGTGCAGGCAGGGTGTAGTGGGTGGAGAAAAAAAAATCCAATATTCTCTTTAACTTTAAAAATAATTTCTATGTAACCAATATGAATTCTTGGAATACTAAGGAATTGTGTCTGTTAATATTGGGTCCACCTTACGATATAAAGCACCTTCAGCTGGCCCTTGTTGTGATTTGGTGCTAGATAAATAAAATGTAATTAAATTGAAAATAAGAGACCATATTCAAAGCATAATTAAGTCAGTAAACACATGCAAAAACGATCAAAGAATCTAATTCAGTTTTAAACGTTAGTCTGGCCTTTTCTTTGAACCAGTGTCACAATACAAGCCGAGACAGAGCTCTGTTAGTGAAGGGTGTTTTAGGGTTGGCTGTTATTTGAGGAGTGGTAAACAGAAGCTGTTTGAGTAAGACCAGACATACCTGTTGAAACGGCTGCTCTCAGAGGCACCTAAGCTTTTCAACCAGCCCCAACATGCACCTCACGGCATATCTGCAGCTCTCTAAGCATGCAATCGAGGGTGTGCGGTAGACGACATTATTACAACGGACAATATTCTATATAAATTCTTACCCCTCTGTAACAGGCTGAATGTTGTTAAAGAACACACAGTACGTGAACATTTGTAAGTATATTTATTGTAAAAAATACTCCAAATGTATAAAAGATAAAGGCTTTTGATTGATACACAACATGCAAACATTTAACAAAGATAAGCTGTACAAAAATAACATTTGTACACAACGTTTTTACCTCATCTTAAATTTTATGTGCCTTCTTCACCAAAGACATTTTGGCACAATGATATCTGTCAAAAAGGAATGTTTCAAGAACTTTAAGACTGATGTACAAAAAGTCAACAAAACAGCAAAGCTTTAACTCATGAAACTATAAACTGTACACAATATTTTGGCGCTTTTTTTTTCCTTTTTTAGCTGACATACTGCAGTTACATTCCTATCAAATTATTAATAGCAGTTAACTTTCTTTGAAGGTATGGATCCGTCCAATCTAAAGAGCCTCAGCTCCTCTTCCCCTCGAATCACCCCACTAACAAATAAAAACGGCATGTAAACATTCACAAAATCAGAATGTTTCATTTCAACTTTCAAAAATGCTGCAAAAGCATTAAACGTATTATACACACTGGAATGAAATGCTTAATTCTACCATGCCTCCAGGAAGATCAGGCATTACTCTTATCTAAAAATTATGGCTTTTCAATGTAAGGGTAAACACATACCTCTTTCAAAACAGCACTCAAAGTGACAGTGAAAACACCCAAACAGCACCAGTGCTTAAACAGCATTTTGTACCAGAGACAAAACATATTACAAAAATAAAAAAGGATAAAGGTTATTTAAACAGGCTCAATATATCAGATACTACAAGGCAAAGATATTATTAAAGGTCATATAAGCATCACTTTGGTCCCCGAACTTTGCGTCAGTGACGATGGCTTTCTGAACATTTGAAGGTGAAAGAATTCTTTCCAGTTTCAGCTGAGTGGAACATTAACAACTCATGAGTAAACCTAAGGTGGCTGTGCCTCCTTTAGAATTGTACTTAGGTGAGTCGGATACCCAACACCTGCTCCAGCTCTTGCCTTCTCTGCTGCACCTATAGCAAAGAAGAGGTTAGACTCAATGGCAAAACCACAAACTGTATAGAAAAAATGGACGCTGTGACATCACACATTGGTTTTGAAATTTTGAGTTATCTTTCTAATTTTATTTTGTTGTAATGTTTTGACTTACCACATCTTGATCGTATAAGCTAACACTAGTTAGCACTAAAAAGTGTATTATTCACTGTCTACTTACTTTGGAGTAAACATATCTGCCCACTGCCTCTGGCACCCAGGGCTCATGGTAGAACTCGGTCCTCCTCTCCTCTTCTGGGTTTCCAGTCACATCTGTCATCAACTGAAAGAACAGAAATGCATCACTGAACACAGGGAACCAAAATTGAATGATTAAAGAAAAGGGGTTTCTATTCCCACATGCTAAGACGGTACTGTAAAGACTGATTCATGCACTGCCAAGTGACTGTAGTAGTACTGAGAGTCTGATGGATCAATGATTCACTGAGTCTGGTTCCTAAAGGCCTACATCTTAATCCAGGTGCTAACGTCTCTCCAGATGAGGAATGCAGCACAAACAGCTAACTGGTGTTTTTCTTTCAACTGAATACCAATGCTATGTTTGGACACAGTCCTGTGAACCAATGGTGCCTTTGTGTGCCCAGCAGTTAATTGTCTATGAAAGCTGGAAACATACTACCACTGCTCACAAAATAACTGCAGCTTTTTTTAATTAAATACAGGGAAAGCTTTGCAGGCAACTGTACAAATATGAGAAAAGCTCAAAGTGAGTGAAGATGATACAAATATCGTGTTACTAAACTATAACATGTTTTGCTGTTGTGTAGACAAGCACGTATGAGCATTTTAGAAGCTGGGGCATAGCGTCTACCTTCAGATCCCTGGACTGAGACTTCAGCCAATCCTTGATGAACTCCTGTGGATTATTGCTGAAGCTCAGCATGAAATCTCTTTCGGTCTTCAGCTGGTTAATGTACTCAATGGTTTCATGAATCTGTAGCGAATACAAACACCAGCAGCACATTTTCAGAATTAAATGGAGTATGCAATTTCTTTCCCCCTCCACGACTCTGGTGAAGTGCAGATGAAGCCTTACCTTCATCTCGAGGGCAGCGATTTCTTGCTGGTTGGTTGTAGAAGACAGGAAGCTGTTCATTTGACCCTTAAGTGGGTCGTCCACTTCCACGTCAATGTCATAGCATGCGGTCTTCTTCTGATCGTTGGGATCCACGCTGCTCGGGGGAGACACAATGACAGTTTGGAGAGAAGGAGTGATGCTGACAGCACACTTGTGTAAGCACACTAAGAAATAACAGGCCAAAGCATAAAGCTAAGGAAACTATCGTTCAGTATGAGCCTCACACACAGGGCTTTCTAATATTCACTGAGAGGCTGATGTAGCTCTTTTTTCAGACAGAAAGAGGTAACATGATCCAGGCTCCCCTACCTAATGACGTGATTGATAATAATGGGGTCAGGGTGCTGCAGCAGGCCCGCCAGTTTCATGGGAATCTCAGAGAACCTCATGCGTGGACAGCCGAAGATCTGGACAGGATTTAGTTAAAGAACAGGGCAAGTTAGACAACATAAGGGGAAAAACTTTTTTTCCTATTTGAGGTCTTGCAAAGGGCTACAAAACAACACCTCACAAAAATCATAATTGCTTGAATGCAAATCATTTAGCTGTGAAATTAAATACATGCAAAATGATGTTTCAGTGCCAAAATATCAAAGCGCCACGAGCCATTTCTAGCCATTTGCCATTACCTGTCTGAAATAGCGGTTGCAGTTGATGTACTCTTTCTCATGACTGTCCTGCAGCTTGTTGTTCTTGATGTAAAGCCAGAGAGCTTGCATGATGCTGGCTCGTGTCTGTGTGTGTACACCCAGAAGGCGAGCCAACCGTGGATCCAGTTTGTACTGAGGGGGCTGATCAAAGAAAAATATCGGGACAAAGCAAATGTTGGTGGAAAAAAAGAAATATCATCAGGAAAAAATTTAGTGACGGTTGAGAAAGTAAGTGGCACCTGGTGGTCGAGCATGAGCAGAAGGGTGCATTTAACATTCACGTCTCCTGGCCTTTTGACCTGGAAACCATCCGTCTCCTGAGTGGTGGGCATTCTGTGCCACTGGAAGATGAAGACGTGATTTTTTTAAAGCAGATAAGCAGATTTTATTAACATGAAATTTACAAAACTACTTTACAACAATAATGACTCAGTGCCAGGTTAAATAAACCGTTCCATCGGCAGATCCCTAAGACTGGAAATTCTCACTTTCACCACTGTTAACCACAATTTTTCAGTTTAAAAAAAAAAGAAGAAGAGAGAATCTGGTTTATGTGTGGGATGAGTTCACACACAATAAGCCCGCCTACAGTCAAAAAAAAGAAAGAAGGATTGGCTCCAAACTTCTAGTGTTTCAATCTGAGCTCAGCTTCTTGACCACAGCTAAACAAGGTCGGTGCTGGCGAACTATTATCACTCTCTGAACTTCTGGTGTCATTGTGCCTACGATGTTCTGAATGGAACTGCAACCAAGGTTTATGTCATACCTCTACTAAGTGGTTATCAGGCCCGTAGAGCTCCTTATCAAGCTCAATCACCAGGCTTTTGAAGAAAGATGAAAACTTCCTCTTCTGCTTGCCAGCCTGGGAAGACAGAAAGCACGAAACAAAAGTGTCAGAAGGACGGAGCAGCAAGAAAGCAGTGTATTCTTATTGTGCTGTGTCAGTGTGCAGCTGCATTGTTTAGCTCTGACCGCATTGGGGGTGGTGGTGAAGCGCAAAACTGTAGACTAGAAAAAGCTGTCTTCACCCCCCCCCCCCCCCCCTTGTCTGCCCGCTCCCCAGCCCTGTCAGAGTCTGTTTGCTCAACACGACCCCTTCACTCCTTTCCCTCACATCCCTTTTTCTGTTGCTCCATGCAATACTCCTCCACATGCCTAAACCCATGAGACTGAGGAGAAATTTTAACAGACAAAAAAAAAAGAAAAAAAAAGAAAAAAAAGACCTCCTTCTCCTTCATGTGGCCCCAGATGACACAATGAGTCGAGCTAGAATTGATGTCGGGAAGGGAGGCTAGTCAGCTCATGGTATGCAACGGCCAGTGGTTTCAATTCCGTATTTCAAATGAGATCCTGAGTGTGTGTGTGTGTCAGCAGTTGTGGGGTGGAATGAGAAAAGCTGTAAACACACATCTGGCTGCGTAGTCTGAGCCAAGAACACTGGCCAACTCAAGTTTGAAGAAACACAATGAGAGAGACTGAAATACTTGCAGTCAGACCACACCGGGACAATAGCGAGAACACTCAAATGTGTTTTTTTTTTTTTTTAAACTTACTTCCTCCAGGAGTTTGCCCTCGACTCTCAGCTCCCAGGAGGATACCTTCTCCGCCTCCTCACCCTCGGGTTTGCTGGGAGTGTACGTGTTGGAAATGTAGATCCTGAGCTTGCGCTTTTGCTGTGTAATTTCAGAGGGACAAGCAGATGTATCAGGAATTCTGGCAACAATTGAGCCTCTCAAGCTCACTTGCCAAATTCACTCTCCAACAAAGACAAACGCTTCATTTCAGGCTATTAAGGGTGTTTACAATAACTTCATCCTTATGTATAAGTTCACATTATTAAGACCGGAAAACACTGCAACCTAACGAGGGATTCACAGGAAAAAGTTGTGACCGTTTTAACTTCACACCAGTCACACCGTTTGCTCTTCTCTGTGGCCGTGTCACAGTTGGATTAATTTACTGCTAATGCAGATTTTCCTGCTGCTAGAGTTGTTTTTGTTGTGACACATCTCAGCAGACCGAGTGTTTCTGCCACTAAGGTTAACGCTAACAGTTAAAATTGTAGCAAGAAAACACAAAGGTCGGATTTCAGTGTGGGAACCAACTGTCCTGCTGTTCTGTGGAAACTGCTTACACTGTGCTCCGCAGGAACTCGGATTACAGCTGAGATCATGTTTTACTGACTTCTCATTTGTTTCAGTGGACAAAGCCTAAAAATAATCTTCTCAAGGTATACTTTTAACTGCATGACAATGGATCAAGGACACATACCATAATGGGCTTTTTGATGGCTTCCTGAATCTCCATACGCTTTCGAGCGATGGTCTGGTCCAGCTTCCTCTCAAAGGCCAGGAGGTCCATGTAGGCCTGGGACTCCGGGACCAGATCTCGGATCTAGAAGACAGTAGCAGGTGAAGATTGAGGAAATACAGCCAACTGGGACAGCAGTGTGATTCAAGGGGGTCGAGGTTTTCCTACCCTCTGTGGCAGAACCTTGTCAGCCATCTTGCGCCTTTTTGCTCTGAATCATAGAGAAAAAAACAAGGAAAATTATTCAGTTTGGAAAGAAGACATTAAATGACCGCTTTAACAGTCTCTACGATGTGAAGGAGCGGATTTCTAAGAATATCTCAAACTGAGCTGTTGTTTTCCAGTGTGTGTGTGTCATCATTTTGCTTTCGGCCTCATAAGTATGACTTCAGTCAACCAATTTCACAGAAACTGGCCACACACCAACACATGATATAGGATCAAATAAAAGATCCCTTTCATTTAACCCGATTACCGGTAATTGGAAGACTTCACAGTGCGATAATATAATCTTGGCCAATGCGATATGTTAATCAAGTCCCCTGAAAGAGTGCTTCAGGTTTTTACTTACCGACTTCATTAAATTGATTTCGTTTCCTTAATTATACACTTCACCTTGGCAATGACTGAATTTAATTTCCATGTGATTAAATGAGAATTTAGGATGGTGGCACCATGACTCACTAATCTTCCTAGACTGAGATTATGCTAAGATACTGACTTTTTTTTATGAAATTAACCTTAAAAACACAACAGAATCATTGTGGACGAAGCATTACGGATGGCCGCATTTATGAGCGTGGCGTCACGGAGCAGTCTGAAGTCAAAAATACCCACTTGTGTCTGCTGCTTTGAAAGCAAAGGCCAGTCATGAGACGCTGGTATCCTCGTGTCTGTGTGATCTGAGCCGTGCTTTTAACAGTACAGCCACTTTACAAACAGACGGGAGAACAAATCATGAATGAAACGTTCTGTTGAGACAATGTAAATAAACCACAAAAGGGGAAAAAGTAAAAAAGATTTACTGCATTTTTATAGCTGGATGACTCCACGCATTTTGTCAGAGAAAATATTAATGGAAAACTCCCTATAGTGACCGTGTTTTCCTGTACACTCAGATTCATATCAGTACTCTTATTTTCACACAAAAATTACTTTATTCTAGTGAACTCTTTCCTGGAGTCATTAAGTCACAAATAATCCTAAAACGAATGTTAATGTTGGACTTGGCAGTGGGGTTGAACCTGGCTTTTGAAAACCTGTATTTACCTTTTTTTCTCCCTATGATGTCAGCAAGAGCAGATACCTTTATTATAGTCATCTCAGCCACACAGCTCTGGCTATGAGCCACTTCTGTTACAAGGGGCAGCCAATTATCAGAAAGTTGGCTTTGAGAGAGGTGTTAGAAACAGACTAGTGTTTATACAGACCTTTCAGTTTCCAGCTGAAGGACTAAAGCAAAGTATAAGATGAGGTACTTTTTGGATGCTCTTTAAGGGGTGGATGGATCTGCGTGTTTGCTTTGGCACAGATGCCATTCCTGACACAGCCCTCACATCTATCCAGTGTTGGGCCAGGAACTAGGAATGCACAAGTTTGTGACCCCTGAGGGTGCATTTGTGCATCTCCTCCCCATATAGAAGCAGGAATCTTGTAAGGGGAATGTGTAAACCACTACACCCATGGAGCCAGTATGCACAGTATAAGATGAGTAAGATTAAACTGTAAATCATCCAGAGCTACTCTAGAAAAGTACAAGACCAACAATATGGAGCTGGAAATGAGCACAAAAGTTTCTCAATAAAAAAGGGGGACATGTGACAAGCAGTCAAGTGCTAAAAAGAAAAATGGTTGCTGTTGCTTGATATTAAAATTAGGCTTGGCAAAAACTTTAGAGCTGAACCTATTTTATATCATTTCTAAGTTACTGGAAAAAAATACCTGGTAACAGTTTTAATTCTTTGAACAAGTGATTTAACTCTTTCCCCTATAAAGGCGACATCTGATGACCTCCCCAGCACCCGTAATCACAAACCTCAGTATTTATCAATAAAGATGTGCTTTGACAACCATTAGAACAGTTTCTGGGTTTTTCTAAGGGTCGCTACATAGGCAGAGACCACCCTCACTAACACTCCATCACTTGTGTAGCAAACCCAGTGATTTTCATCTATAAGCAGCAGTTCTGAAAAGAGTTTCAGCAGGTCACTACTAGCAGCTTTCAAGTGGTAAAGAGTTAATGATAAGAGGAAAAAAAGAAAACATTTTTGGATTTCATTTACTTAATGAATAATCAATAATAGATTTAATTGTTTTAAAGTCATGAAGGAGTAATAGCTAGTTATTTTAGATGGCAGTGAGGTCCAAACACTGGCAGTACCATCCCCTACATTTTGTCCCGTCTCCTCTCTTACCCTCGTCTGAGGCCTCCCAGCGCCTCTTGTTGCTGTTGGTGGTGCTGATGATGAAGAAACCGTTTCCTAGAGGCGTCCATGCTTGGGGGTCCCATGCCTGCCCGCATGGGAATGCTACTGCTACCATAAGAGGGACCAGGCAGCTGACCCCCCATTGACCCCATGGGGCCCCCCACTCTGCTGGATGGCATCCCAGGGCGCTAGAGAAAAGGAGGGAAACTGATTTCACAGAACAATTTCTCCATATCTACACAAAAAATTTAATATTTCATCTAGGACTAAAGGAAATCAAGGATCTGATTTATTAAAGAGATACAAAAAAGTACCTATTTAAAATAATAATAATGAAAACCAATGATGTGTGAAGCTGTTTGCAAATAAATTTCATATTGTATGATCAACTTATATCAAATTCTAGCTTTTTGGATCGGGTGGGTAAAAAGAATGCTCAGTGACATACAGTACTGTCACTTACACTGTTTGCTTTTGGTTGTACCACAAATATTGTGAGTCATAATATCCCCGTTAAAAACATGCCAAAAACATAACCCCACCTGCAGAAACAGTGCATTTATGTTTTTAAGCTCTGAGGTTTAATTATGAAGTTGTGCATATAAATACTGTTATGGTACTGCAGTGTTTATCTCCATCTACACAAAGCACAACCTCTTTCAACTTTAAGGTTTCACATATCAGGATATAATGAAAAGAAATCAGGTGCTTAGTAAGCTTTATAATTTGCTAAATATAACCTCAGATGAAATACAACACATGACATAATACACTGTGGTTTTATTTAGTGTTAAACAAAAATAATAAATAGAAATGCAGAAGCAGTAAAGTAACAGCCAGATGCTGCTAATCAAATGCATTTCATCAATTTATTAGTTTCAGGAAGTGTGAACACTTCTGTAACAGCAGAGGTTTTGACAGTTTGCTGGTTTGGAGGATTCAGGTGTGTTAACACAAAGACATCAATGATAATCCTTGAGAAGCAACTGCTGCCCATCAATCTGGAAAACCTTATAAGGTCATTTACAAACAATATGAATCCATCTGTCTAGAGTGAGAACTATTTTCTACAAATGGAAAGCATTCATGACAGTTGCCAATCTTCCCAGGAGTGAACGTCCCAGCAAATTCACTCCAAGTTCAAGCATTGCAAGAGCTACTTCTCAGGCCTCAGTTAGCATGCTAAATGTTAAAGTTCATGGCAGCACAATTAGGAAAAAAATAAACAAGTACGGCTTGTTTGGAACGGCTTCCAGAAGAAAGGCTCTCACATTTGAACAAACCACAAAACCTCTGGCGCAATGTTCTTTGGACAAGTGAGACCAAACTGGGGATATTTGGCCATAATGCTCAGCACTACATTTTGTGAAAACTAAACACAGCATAACAGCACAAACACCTCATACCAGCTGTCAAGCACGGTGATGAAGTCAAATGCAAGGCCATATACTTGACAGCTAAAGCTTGAGTGCAATGATCACAAGCACACAAACAAATCTACAACAAAATAGCTGAAGAAGACAAGAATCAACGCGGTGTAATCACACAAACTCCTCAACGCGTAAAATGCTTTGGCAGGATCTTAAGAGAGCTGAGCATAAACAAATGCCTGCAAATGCCGATGAACTGAAGCAATGTTGTAAAGAAGAGTGCACCAAAATTCCTCCTGATGTGAAGGGCTGATAAAGTCATACAGAAAATGATTACTTCACACTGTTGCTGCTAAAAGCAGTTGAACAAGCTCCTGAATCTTGAGGCGTGCTTAGTTTTTCACACACTGCTTCTGCATTTCGGCTCAGGTTTTTTTTTATATAAATAATAACACAGTGTAATAGGGCGTATTTTGTTACACATCTGAGGGTGTACTTATTTTAAGACCTGTTACTGACTAGATTTTTTTTCTTTTTAATTAGGTCTTTATATGTAACACATCAGTACTGTAAATAATGTATCAACAAATTGTGAGAATTCTCACACTTTGTCCAGTTTGTAAACATAAAAACAAAGTCTAAACCCAAATGGCTCCAACTGTCAAAACGGGGGGAACTGCGATGGTGTCTGTTAACTACAGGGGAAGCTGCAGATGGTGACAATACTGGCACGATATATGCAGGCTTGCCTCTGGGCAGATGGTGCTGATAAACTTTTGCTTTCACGCTAACTGACAGGAGGCGAAGCGGGCAACCACGTGATTTTCTTTTTCACACGCGCACAAAACGCTAAACGATATCAATTTGAATTAAACGTCCCACTACTTTTGTGAACCACTTTAAATGCCATAAAAGAAAAAAAAAAAGGTTACACTTAATTATTGCGGTAATTAATAAATAATTACACCCACTTCGAAGGCGGAAGTAGTGTCCACGCGGTGATATATAATGAGCTTTATGTTTGTTTGTTTTTATTTCCATGTCTCTCTGGCGACTATTTCAATTAGCTACTTTTATTTAAACACGAATTTAAAAAAAAGTAACGAAAAGCTTAAACAGACATGGGGGTGATCGGACAAATACCGTCACCCTCACCTTTCACTCAGTTTCTTTATTCGACACGGAGAAATCAAGCAGAACCAACCTGGGGGTATTGGGGAACGCTGCTCATGCTTCTGGGATATCCCCCCGGAGGCTGGGGCATTCCTTGCATCCTCATGCCCGCGGCAAGCCCAACGTTCATGGGGCTCATACTCGGATTCATCGGAGGACCCGTGAAGCTTCCCCTCGATGCCATCTTCTAGAGCCACAAGTGGTTAAAAGTGACGGGAACTTCAAACCAAATTCGGCCCAAATAAAAGTGCGACAGGCTGAAGTCTCCAAGTAGGTAGCTAACTAACTCCGGGTACTTCTGCTTAGGTCGGTTTCTGGTTTGACAGCAAGCACACTGTCAACAAAAAGCTAGCTAACGTTAGCTCACTTCCTACCGTTTCAAGTTCCGGGATTTGCTTCTACCTAGTGACTGCTCGTTTTGTGAACACACCAAGTGGGGGCTTGTCATCTCCCACTCGCGCCTTTACGACTGAACGACGCCACATAAACGATAACTAACAGCTATTACACCGTGAGGCGAATGAAAAACATGATAACGTCGTACTAAAGACAAACTGAGTATCTTGAGCAGATAGCTTGTCTGCACTCTAAAGCAAAACCAAGTACTCTCAACTACATGCTGCGTTCACAAACATCGGAAATTATGAAGTTCCAAATTTCAGCGCGCAATAATCTCAATTTTTTTCTTTTCGAACACCTTTAAACACATGCTAGTCCGAAGTCTTTATTTCTTTTGTATTTTGTAAAAGTATATATTTTCAATTATGTTTTATTTTCAATGCTTGATTTCAAATGTGACTTACAGAAACGTGCGCTTGGTTTTGTAATAGTGTAATTTTGTTTCTTGATCAGAAGTTCGAGACTTTTCTCAGTAGTGCCAAACTATAACCTGGAGTAATACTCTGCCTCCTGAACACAAATTTTTGGTAAACAGTAATGTGCTGAATCTAGAAGTCTTATGCCGCCCATCCTTATATTTTCCTGGGGGAAATGACGGAGTAAGGCAAGGCAAGTTTATTTATATAGCACAATTCAACAGCAAGGTGATTCAAAGTGTTTTACAGAGACATTAAAAAACAAAAACAACTAAAAAGCATGATTTAAAATGGGGAAAAAAAATAAAGGAACAGTAGATAAAATCAGTAGTTAAAATGTACGTTTTGAAATTTAGTAAAACATTGCGAATTTGGTGCTTTATTCAAATGCAGCTGAGAACAGGAGTCTTCAACCTGGATTTAAATAAACTGAGTGTTTCAGCTGATCTGAGGCTTTCTGGGAGTTTGTTCCAGATATATGGAGCATAAAAGCTGAATGCAGCTTCTCCATGTCTGGTTCTGACTCTGGGAACTGATAAAAAGCTGGATCCAGATGACCTGAGGGATCTGGAAGGTTCATACTGGGAGTAGGCAATTTACTGAGACATATAGGGAAATGCAGGATAAAAGAAAAGGGGAAAAAAACAGAGGCTGTACAATTCTAGCGAGCTTGAAAGCCAACATGGTATGGCTACATTTATTCATCAGCACAGCATGAACTCTCTTAAGCAACTTAAATGCTCTTCAGGAATAGTTCTCTTAGCTATATGTCCCTCCAGTCTTCTTGAGGGACATTCAAAGCTCTTCTTTGTTTGGGATTACCTTCCTGCTAAAAAATGATGTCACTGCCAGTCAGACACTTCTCAGATTGCATTGCATGGTGGATCTAAATATGATGGTACTTTTCCATTAATTTTAAAGCGATCCCCAACACCATTTGCTGAAACACAGCCCCAAACCTCGAGAGAGCCTCCACCATGTTATACAGATGACTGTAGACACCCACTGTTCTACCACTCCCCTAACCTCCTCTGTACTGTCCAATTCTTGTGAAGTTTTGCATACCTCAGCCATTTCTCTCCATTTCCCTTCCTTAAGAATGGCTTGTTGATGGCCAACCTTCCTCTGAGGTTACTTCTGATGAGCCTTCAGTAAACGGTACATAGATCCTCTGTCAGTTTTTCTGGATTTTTTCTGTTTACTGTTCATCTGTTGTAGATATTTGTTTTAGGCTTGGCACTCCCCCCCCTCTATTTGTCCAGTTTTTCTTGCACCTAATACCAAATTATGCCAAGTCTTCAGCTAGTAGCTCTTTAGAAACCAGCTTGTTGCTGTAACATACTCAAACTGTGTTATCTTTGGAATTATTTGTGTCTAAAAAAGTGCCACTTTAAAACTGGTCCTGTGCTAAGCTATCTGGTATATGCAGACATAAAACTGGTTCCTCCCGTGAGTTAAATGCCCCCTTTTATGCTTGAATTTAAAGAGAAAAAAACATTCTCCCAAAGATGGTCAGGTACAAGGACTGAATATGAATATGAGTGACAAAGCAGCCCACATTTAAAGAAAAACTTTGAAAGACTTTCAGAAAGCCTTGAGAACTATTGCTCATCAAAATCTTTTAACCTATGGGCTACATTAATGCCTGTACTGCAGAGTTTAGGAAGGCTACACAAAACAACATTATCAGCTCCCCCTTGGCACAATGAACTCTGAATAAGAAGCTTGAACTGTATGAACATGGCTGTGTTTACAACATGACAGTTTTCTGAGAATATGACCTACAACCACACTAACCAAGATAATATTTAGCCCCACATCTAGCAACAGAAGCATGTGTACATCATCTGATCAACAGCACCCCCTGTTGATCAGTTAGACATTAATTCCATGTACTTGGTTGCCGTTTTATACATTTTATACTTTTGTTAAAATGAATGTGAAAACACAGGACAGATAACAAATCATTTATTTTGCTAGACAGATGAAACAAACTGAGCCATGATAGCAGCAATTCAACTATTAGAATATTTACACTATCACATCACACCAAGGACACATGTAACCCTTTACAATGTAAACACATGATACAAAGACATATTTCAATGCTAGAAAACAAGCAACTCTATCCCACCAAAAAATGAAGAAACCTGCTTTCTGCACCAAATACCTGCTTCTACACTTAAGGAGTTCGTGTCCTGAACATTGTGAAACAAGTTTCCACAGGTGAACGACAGAGATGCTTGTCTTTAAATTCTGTTTGAGAAATTCAGACAGTGAAAGGTGAAAATAAGACAAACCATTAGCAAGGATTGTCTTTGACATTATTGTTTTTTTTCAAAGAATGAGATTGTAAAATGTGAGGTAATATAAGGACATCCACTGTGTAATCATTTCTGTATTTTATGAAAAGAAAATACTGTAAGCGTACACCGTCTCTGAATGAATTACACTGCAGTTTACATCTGTGCAGTGAAATCATATTTGGTGACAAGTATCAGTCGAAAATGATAACTACATAAAATTATTTAAAAAAAACAAAACAAGTGTTGGTACAATGATTTTCTGAATAAAAATAAATTTGTCAAGTATAAGGTTGGGAGTTCTGAACTGCTTCTGCAGAGCAGCAAACACCACAAACGTTGCCTTTAACCATCAACGTCCATTCATTTCACAACATAAAGAACCAAAGGTGAAGTGTTGTTGGTCGTCCCGTGAGCGTGTCTCTGTGTGCATCTCCGCACACACGATGGTGAGAGAATGTGTGTTTGTGTTATTGAGAGAATGCCTCGTCTTTCATCAGCATGCGTGGGCTCTCCTGGTTGTCCATGCGACGTCTGGGACCCATCATGCCTAGAGGAACACACGCGCCATTTATTTATTCAATCCAGACACATAATTGATTTCAACTGGTGTTTAGTGTCTCATTAAGGCAGATATCTAACCAGCCAATCACATGGCAGCAACTCAGTGCATTTAGATATGTAGAGATGCTCAAGACAGCCTGCTGAAATTAAAATTGAGCCTCAGAATAGGAAAAAAAGATGATTTAAGTGTGGTTTAAAGAAAACAGAAAATATCCAATGAGCAGCAGTCCTATGGGTGAAAGTGCCTCATTGATGCCAGACATCTGGAGTATGGTAATAACCACAATACAGTTAAGGTACACAGAAGAGCATCTCTGAACGCACATGTTTAGCCTCGAAGCAGAAGACCACAGCGGATGCCCTTCCTGTTAGCTAAGAACAGGAACCTAAGACACATTTCCTGACCAAATTTGGACAATAGAAGGTTGGAAAAACATTGCCTGGTATGGTGAGGCTTAGTTTTTGCTGCAACATGCGTAAAAAAAACAAAAACAAGAAACCATTGATCCATTCTACCTTGTCTCAACTGTTCAGACTTCTGGTGGCAGTGTAAGAGTGTGGGGAAATATCTCCTTGGCACAATTTGGCCATTATCAATGTGGACCAGAATCTCTGAGGAATGTTTCCAGCACTGCGTTGACCCTGTGCCATGAAACATGAGGGCACTTCTGTGCACAAATGGGGTTCCAACCCAGCACAAGAAAGATGTATTTAATAAAGTGGCCAGTGAGTGTATTTTGAATTATTTTTATAATATGCTAGCTAGCAGAAATTGTTAAGTTTTTTTTTTAAATATTTCTTTTTAGTTGTACACTTGGTTTATACCAGTAGGTGCCTGGGGGTAGCTGTAGCTCAGGTGGTAGAGCAGGTCGGCTACTAACTGGAAGGTTAGATCCCAGTCTGCTCTAGTCTGCATGCCAAATATCCTTGGGCAAGATACTAACCCAACATTAATAAAACATGGCATCACACGTCCATCAGAGTGTGAATGTGTATGAATGTTAGATAGGGAGCAATTAACAACTTAGAAAGTGCTTGGGTGTGATTGGGTAAATGTACAAGTTGTATAAAGAGCTTTGAATGTTCAGAGTAGAAAAGCGCTATATAAGAACCTCATGTTGCTACACTGTGAAGTTTCTTTATTCTACAGAACCAAACGTTCTACCGCATCATACTTTGGTGTGGTAGAAATCTTATGAAGTCAGGGATGTGACACATATAGAGAAAGCAAAACAGGATATCTTTATAGCCACCACAGTCTGAAGCCAAACACCTTTAACACTTCATTATGCGACCAAATATATGGTCATAGTTTCCTGTTGAATTACACTCATTAATAGTGGCTAATAAAATCAGCTGACGTTACCACGTAGTTGACATTTGGGACAATAAAATTCACCACTTCACTTTATTCTATTAGACATAGATTATTAGGGAATTCTTGTGTAATTTTGCCCTTGAAATCACTTACATGGGGATAGACTGGTAGAAGCAGCAGCTACTTTTGGCTGCTCCCTTATTTTTAAAGGGTTGCCAAGCGGGCAGCTCTGCATGCTTGGTTTGGCAGATTTCTTTTTTCTTTTTGATGCAACCTCAAAGGGATTTGTGTCTCCTCCTGCGATCGGGCTGAGGAGTTTTCATTTGTTAGGCGAATGTGTAAACCACTACAGTATGGACTGTACTGACAGATAGGCGTAACCTGGAAACATAATACCTTCAGCCAGACCAATATAAGGACAGAACAAAACATGTTTCATACACTGTAATGTGAAAATGATTCTATATGCTGACTCTGCTATGCTTCACTCTGGTATCCACTGTTATAAAGTGATCTGTGGGTAATTTAACTAATAGTATACATATGACAGCATATAGCAAAGCTGCACTGTTTTAAGATCTGATTACATACAGACAAGCTCC